ATATTCGTCGTCTCCGTAAACCACTCCTACCCAGGTCCAGTTATAGTGTTTCATAACTTTGGCCACTGCTTTAGTCTGATGAATATCACTGGGAATAGTGCGCAGAAAAACTGGATAGCGCTCCTTATCACTCAGCTCCGGTGACGATGACATGCTGCTTAGCTGATGAGGTTTCACACGGAATAACATAGAAAGCGTTAAAAACATATAAATCACAGCTTCACAATCATGCTGCTAGCATGATTGCTCCACATACACACATGGGAACCTCCAATTTAACTGGTACTGGACTAGTTTAAGCCCCCACATAGCAACTACTGTACTTTCCGGGCTATAAGTCGCACTTTTTTCATCCTTTGGCTGGGTTTGCGACTTACTGTATACTCAGGTGTGAGTATGTTTGTTATTTTCACACTAACAAACGCTAGAGGGCACTCTAGCAAGGCTTGCGTGGCAGTATCTGCTACTCCTGTACCACTGAAAATATACATGTTCCTTATTTTCACACTGACAGCCACCAGAGGGCCCTCTAGGCTTGTGCACCAGTATCTGCGACTTATATATGTTTTTTTCTCCTTCATTATGCGTTTTGCAGCTGTTACTCCGCAGCAATTTAGTCTGGAAAATACAGTATATGGATAAAAGTAATTTTCCTTCTTTTGCCCAACAATGGCTTGTATACTTCTGCACTGTTTATCTGGTATTTACGATATTAATTTTTTATTTGTTGTACAGTCTTTACCAGTCCACTCCTGTTTTCTCGGAACACAACAATTGACCCGGTGCGTGATCAACAAAGTTGAATCTAATCTAAACCTGACTGTCAGGAAGTACAAGAGCTTTTGGGGAGGAGCTCTCAGCCTACACCTTACATATTTTCATTCATTCTTTCATCAGCCTGTTAAGAGTGATAACCTTCAGTAGTCCCCAATAGGTCTGCTTTGGAATGACAAGTTACAATCCTTGAGGTTGAGGGCACCAAGCTTGTAGAGTTGGTTTAATATATACCCTGGCTGCTTTGGAATGACAAGTTACAATCCTGGGCAAAGGTTGAGGGCACCAAGCTTGTAGAGCTGGTTTAATATATACCCTGTGAAGCAGCACAGAGTATTTCTTAGACAGAAAATTACATAAAAAAGAAAAAAGTTGTAACTTACAAGAGGGATCATGTATACATTAAGCAGTCTGGCCACAGCAACAGATGTCTCGGAGTATTGTGCTCCCAGGATTATCTTGACACTGGGCCTGAATTCTGTGTCGTTGCTGGTCACGTTTATACTTGCGTCAACTCCAAGTATGTGCCCGAGGCTTTGTAGTGCTTTGCTTGCATACGAGCATGTGTCACACATCAAATAGCCAAGGCTAACATTTGGGAGAAACTTAGATGCGTTTATCTCCTCGATTTCATGAATGATAGCCAATGAGTTAAGGAACGACGTGTCATCAAAACTGTAATTAAACAACACATAAAACGTTCGGTTTATACCACACTGTCAAAATAGTAGTCATTCCTAAATACAAACATTTTATGTTCATGTTCATATGTTTTGTAAAATGATAAATAATTAAATATGAAGCTTGGGTGAGATACAGTATATGTACTTGTACACTTTGCATGAAAAGGAGAAAAGCATGGACTTAATGTCATTTATAGGTAATTATGTTATGATTGCACTGGTCCGGCCCACTTGACGTCTAATTAGGCTGTAGGTGGCCCCTGACCCAAAATGAGTTTGACACCCCCTGGTTCGAGGTATGTGAATAAAGCACAACTGACCTAAAATAACATAGTTCAATAAGCATCTCCTGCTTCACACTCCAGCTACCACTTTTACTTGTAAATACACATGTACTGTATATTGAGATGTCGTTACCTTCCCTTACTTACTCTGAACAGGGGTAGCTGTCAGGTCTAATCCGGTCATAAATTGCGCTTACTTTCCGGTGACATGGCAGCAATATCCCGATAAGAACATTTCCAGGACCATATGCAGTATAGATGGGCTCTTCAACATCCTGACCCAGGACATTCAGAACCAACAGGCCCCAAACAAGGTAGAAAAGCAATGTGGCCTGCATGTTGAAGGTGCCGGAAAAAAAAAAGCTCCGTTCAAGTGAACACAAAAATTTAATCTGATCTCACCTACCTATGCTCTCATAACACCTGCTAAAAACCTACCAAACTGGATAGACCTTTGTTTATAAAAACAATAAATAAAAAAGACCAAGGTGGAGTAGACCAGCCCACATTAAAATTGTTGATCGGTTTTGGTGAGCTAAATATAATACAGTCTTAGTTAGCTACATGTAATACTGTAATACTGTAATACTAATCTGTTATAATTTGTTCAAGCTACAATGTGCATTATACAAAATAATCCATAAAATCGTTGGATATGACCTACCAGTGTAAATAGACCCGAGATGTCAGTTCGGTTTCAATTGTTGACGTCACATACCGATTATCATTGCGTCAGAACATAAAATATAGTGCAAATAATCGTCACCAGAAACCAGAAAAACATGTGAAAATAGTATAAAGATTCCCCTTGACCTAACAAACTTTTTTTTTTTATCTGTGAGATGGTGACTCATTTTACTGAAGTCAATATGATGAGATACTATCTCAATATAATGAGTTAGTAGTGGTCCACGGCGCGGGCGTTGGGTTGGGTTGAACATATTTATATTTACTGAAATATAATTTTTTTTAAAACCCATCATGAACATGAAGTGTTTCTGCATTGTTTTACTTTCAAACTTTAATTGTACATATATAGGCCGCACTTCTCTATAAGCCGCAGGTGTCCACGTTGGTGTCCAACATGGGATATTTACACGGAATTTTTTTTTTCACTTTTCACTTTTTTTCCACTTTTTTCACTCAGTTAAATAAATGGTGACTGGTTACACGTTAGCTCTTTCTTGCTTCGCCATGCCGACCGTAGTTGGAATGCACAGCGGAGACTTAGATCTGCTCCAGGGCTGAAGCTAACATTAGCTCCGGGGCTAACTCCCTTAACTTTGTGCTTGTCCGCAGCAGAGGTAAACAGAAACAGGGAAGTTGGGGTCTTCACACACATACACTCACACAGCCATTCACAGACAGACATACGCTACCAGTATAACACACAGTAGCCTATTAGAAAGGTCACTGATTGCTAGCGGTATGAACTTCGTTAACCTGTAAAAAATCCAAAAGATTAGCTGCATCACTGTTTAAGTCTCAGGTGTAAAAAAAGTAGCAGCTTATAACCCGGAAATTACGGCAAACTCTTTAATATTATATTTAATATTGTCTCGATCATTTAAATCTCATTTAAAGTAAGGACTGTATGAATAGAGAATAGAGATGTGTTTTGTGGATTTACACATAAAACATGACTGGGATACCAGGTTTCCTACTACCTTTAAGGAAGGAAAGGAAAGTAAAGGAAAGGAAAGGAAAGTGAAACCTTGTCATTGTGACATTGTGACACACATGACTGCACACAACAAAATGTGACCTCTGCATTTTTAACCCATCACCAAAGTGAACAGTGGGCAGCAGTGTGTGGGGACGGTGCCATGCACCTCAGTGGTAACTTGGCAGCTGGTGGAGTTGAACCTGCAACCACTAAGCCACCACTGCCCTCAACGTAAGGGTAGGAAAACTCTTAAAGGTGTACTATGACTTAAAGGGGTAATATGCAGTTGTACTTAAATAAGTGCAGTCAATATGAACACATTCACCAAAATACCGAGATTCATTTGAAACATATTTAAAAACATGGGTAGAATGATACACTCTGTATGCAATTGTTCCACTTGCCTATCCACATGTTACTTTGTATGGGTGTTCCGTGTACTACCGCTTCATCGCATGGAAAAAAAAAAGAGTCGAGGTATATGGTGTATTACTCTGCAAGTTCCAAGCATCATATTAAAGAAGAAGCAAAAGTTGTTTCGGTCCATTCGAGCTACACAACCGAAGATCGTTCGTTGGCACTGTACTCTCGGAAGAAGGTGAACTTTTGGATTTGACAACCTTCACTGCACTATTTTTGATTGCTGCACAATAAATCGCCTGTGTGGCTTGCAATCGGATTCCCCCCACTCAGTGCTTCTCATCTGTAACGTTGTTGTATTTGTTAACCTACCAATACATCAACATGTTTCCTGCTGGGACTAATAGATGGCGTCTTCTGATTTATGTGCATTTTTCGTAGAAGTAAAATGTGCCATAATAGTACATGTCACTAATATTGTCTGTGACCGATATAAGATCGTCGTCAGCCACAATGAAGAAACCGCGTTTGATCAAATACGACCAAGTGTGACAATCGTCATACATCCAGCAGGAGCTTCTTTCATTCCACCGTGGAATGTAACAAATGACGGAGGAAAGCCTGTAGGTCTGCGTTAAGGTTTCGCCGACAGGAAGCTCTACTCTTAAACACGGGCTCACGAGCACCCTAGATAGCACGCTGGGTTTGCGGGGTAGATACAGAGTCAAAACGTCGGGAAAGTCAACAGTTTGTTGTTTGGAAACTAGGCCCGTGCACATTACGCAATTTGCCATTTTGCTGTCGTCCAAAAAACTTATCAGAAGGCATAAAATTGAATCGTCATAATCTGTCGGAGATAAATAATAAATATGACAGTCTTGGTAGTGTGATGAGGTGAATCCACATTGCTCACATCTGATGGATGTTTTAACTTGAGTGATTGTTTGTACTCCGCACTCATCTAGCCAGTTCAGCAACGGTTCCAAAAAGTGAAGTATATTATTTTGCCTTTCCAGACGCAGGGATGGTATTTCCTCACTTAGTTCCTGAAGAACTACGTACAGTTCTTCCGGAGAGAAAAGTCTTCCAGGGTGTTTGAGAGCCGTTAAAAAGACCTCTCCAAACTTTGGTGTTATTGACGACTTTATGATAAGGTCAGCAGGGAGAAGTACAAATTTCTCCTGCACAAACTCGAGGTTTAGCACAGCCTGCAGCGAGGCATTCATCCAGCAGTTGGAAGACTGATTCGAGAACCTACAAATTGTTTCACACAAATACATGGATTGCAATTCGACCGGCTGAAAAGAGAAGAAATACTCAAAGAACGTCCTGACAGTCTTGACAACAACTCCCATAAAGTAAAATAGCGCTTTTGCCATGTTAGCCAGTCTGACCTTCAGAACACTGTGGTATCCAATAAGAATGATTTCTGGATCCCTGATTAGACAAAGACTGTTGTTGATTGTTCAGATATCATTGCTACGTCTTCCTGAATTCAGTCATCCCCCCTCGCAATGCTGTTATTTAGTGATGTCGTCAAACAACAAAGACAATTTGGATATATCAAAGGACTTTTAAAATACAATTATACAGTTTTTACAGTAGTTAATATGGTACTTTAGTAGTTACGGTGTAGCCAATACAGTATTGTTTACACTGACTTAATTTAGGAATACCTGTGCATTCTTTGCACCTGATGACCATATTTTCCAGAAGTCGCACCAGCCAAAAAATGCATAATGAAAAAAAAAAAAAACATATACTAAGTTGCTCTGGAGTATAAGTGGCACCAGCCAGCTAGAGTGCCCTCTAGAGGCTGTCAGTGTGAAAATAACGAACATGTAAATTTTCAATGGTAGAGGAGTATCAGATACTGGTACACACGCCTAGAGTGCCCTCTAGTGGCTGTCAGTGTGAACATAACAAACGTGTAAATTTTCAGTGGTACAGGAGTAGCAGATACTGGTACACAAGTCTCCATCATTGACAGCCGCCAGAGTGCCCTCTGGGGGCTGTCAACGACTGTACAACAAATAAAATAGCAAGGTCTTGTAAATATGAGATATACAGTGGTGTTCAATACCAGATAAGCAGTGCAGAAGTATATCAGAATTAGAATCAGAAATGTTTTTTTATTGCCAGGTAGGTTTTCACCTATGAGGAATTTGTTGTGGCATACAGTGCAGTGAAGGAAATGTACATGAAGGTATACAAATGTTGATAAAATAAATTAAATTATCCCTATAGGTGGGCATTTACAGGATAGTAAGGAAATGTACGACATTTTTAGAGTGCAGGGGTGTGTGTGTGTGTGAAGGTAGGAAGGTGATGGGAGGGTCAGTGAGAGCCTTTTTGTCTGTTGGCTAATAGCACAAGGGAAGATGCTGTTTTTGTGGTGAGAGGTTTTGATCCGGGAGGACCGCAACCTCCTGCCAGAGGGGAGCGCCTCAAAGAGTTTGTGACCGGGGTGAGAGGGGTAGGTTGCAATATTTTTTTGCTCGTTTTAGGGTTCTGGAGGTGTACAGGTCCTGCAGTGAAGGTAGGTTGCAGCCAATTACCTTCTCGGCAGAGCGGATGATACGGTGCGGTCTGCTCAGATCCTTTGCAGTGGCAGCAGACGGAGATGGAGGAGGGCTGGTTCTGAAGTCCACTATCATCTCCACTGTTTTTAGGGCATTGAGCTCTAAGTTGTTAAGTCTACACTAGGTCACCAGGCGGTCAATCTCCCATCTGTACACTGACTCGTCCCCATCAGAGATGAGTCCGATGAGGGTGGTATCATCCGCGAACTTAAGGAGCTTGATGTTCTGATGGCTCGAGGTGCTGGTGTTTGTGTACAAGGAGGTGTGCTTCCCCATCCTCACATGCTGACTCCTGTCAGGAAGTCAGTGATCCACCTACAGGTGGGCTCAAGTACACTGAGCTAGGGTAGTTTAGGATAGCTAGGATGATGGTGGTGAAGGCTGAGCTAAAATCCACATCCAGGATCCGTAGAATAGCGTAGGTTCCTATGTGGTGATTTTACTCAACAATATGATACATTGTTGGGTAAAGGTAGGAAAACTACTTTTATCCATATACTGTATTTTCCGGACTACAAGTCGCTCTGGAGTATAAGTCGCACCAGCCAAAAAATGCATAATGAAGGAGAAAAAAAATCCAACATATATAAGTCACTCTGGAGTATAAGTTGCACCAGTGCCCTCTAGCGGCTGCCAGTGTGAAAATAAAGTACATGTACATTTTCAGTGGTACACGAGTAGCAGATACTGGTAGATATTAGAGTGCCTAGTGTTTGTCAGTGTGAAAATAACAAACTATACCAAATTATATATTTTAGTATATAAGTCACACCTGAGTATAAGTCACAAACCCAGCCAAAGGATGAAAAAAAAATGCGACTAATAGTCTGAAAAATATGGTATATGTTTTCAAATGTCTACCACAAAGTAGAGCAGGGGGTGCTCTCATCAAAGTCTCAAGCTAAAGTTGTTGAAATTCAAAGTGTCCTCCTCATCTTCCTTGTCTATCAGACTACATAGCGTTTCCACCAAGTTTTCCATCCATACATACACTCTAATGTGCAGCAGCCTTAAGTAAATGCCTAAAGCCTTTATCTCCCAATTATGGTCATCAATACTTTGCTGGTCGACACTTTCTACATCAGTCTGTGAATCCTTTGCATGCTTTTCCCTTGCGCGTTTCCCTGCGTCGTCTCTTTTTTTGGTCTTCCTTCTTGTCCTTTCTGCTTTGGTAGTTGCCTTTTTGTCATTCCTCTCATCATCACAAATTAAATCAGCATCACAGTAGTAGGACTCATCTTTAGCCCAAAGTTTATTCTCTGGGAGACCCAACAGGTTTCTGAGCCACAGGGCCTCGTCTGGCATACTATCCAGGAGGGCTATCCACAGCTGCCGCACTTTCACTGTTGCGGATAGATGCCAGTGTTTTATTTGAACGGGTTCAGATAGCTTGAAGAGCAAAGAGTTAAATCTTGTCAAGATTGCTTCTTTGGTATCGAGGTTTTGAGGTGACCCTTCTACAGGCAGAGCCAACAAAATCCCTTCGAGGGTGTCAACAGAAAGGTCCCAGACGTGGTCTGGATTTATTTGGTGCCAAAGTTCTGCCAGGTCCTCGACTGGCTGACAAAGGTAGTGCAACTTGGGGTTTTTTTCAATGAACAATTGCTCCTCAGTTTTAAACCAATTTGCAGGAGAGTTAGGCCTCTCCCGGCTTCTTACACCATGCACTATTTCGTTAACAATGCACTGGCATATCTTGACTTTCACTTTATTTTCTAGTTTTGCCTCTATGAAGAGCCTTTGGTCTGCAGAGGTGTCCTGGTACAGAGATGTTCCTTTTAATGTGACCTTTATAGATGCCCCTTGGAGCAGCAGGGGGTGGGTATTGAGCTGCCATACTTCCGTTTTGACTCCGGGATGCTCCGCCTTGAACATAAACTCCAAATGCTGTATCTCCGCTGGAAGAATTACTCTAGACGAGGAGTCAAAGTAGAAGTTTACGTTATTGGGTTGGGAATGCAACGTGTTAAATCTTTTTGTCAACGGTAGCTGCTGCCAGCTGTAGAAAATGCCAGTGGAGCCTACATTGTGCATCTCCAAACTGGAAGTGGCTATTTTCCCTGCCAAGGCCTCAAAGATAATTGTGACACTGATCCCTACCTCTTCCTTGTAAGCGGCAGTGTTTCCAGTCCAGTGAGAAGGGTGACCGAAAAACCTCAAGGCAGGAATTCGCAAAAATGGTTGAGACTCCTCACTCTGTGGTTTATCCTCATTCTCCTCATCCTCATTCCTAAATTCATTTTCTTCCGTTTCCTTCTTCAAAGGGCTACCATGCGACAAGGACGAACAACTACTCTTGCCTATCACCTCCAGTCCACTGAAGACCGGCTTTTTGGTCTTTTTGAAAAATTGTTCCAATTTCTGATACTGGCGATGGAGGTATAAGCTCTGCTGCCAAGAATGGGAGGATGGACGCAGGGACTCCGTACCTGCCTCCAAACAGATACTGGCTGGTTGTCCTACACGTGTGATGGGTCTCAATCTTCCTTTCTCTCTTCGAGTGAGAGTTGCACTTATGCCCGTAATTTCGTCCCCATATTTTTGCGGCAGCTTCCAAAACTCGCTACCCGCACAGTGACTACATCCGGTCTGAGTTAAGGGTTTGACTTGATATATATATTCCCTTTGCTCCTGAACGTATCTGAAATGGTTTGCTTGGTTGAGTAGTAATGTGTTGACTGGTTTGTGGAGCACGTCGGATAAGTGTTCCTGCTGTTGTCTGCGATGCTTCATATGTGTCTGCCAATTCTGCAGGGCATTTCTCTCGTGAGTCTGGAACGAAGGGACTCCACACCCACTCTTTACTGCCTTAAACCGTGGCTCTTTCTTCGGGATTCGTTTGACCAACTCAGTATCCCCCTGGGTCTCCAGATAACTTTTAAAGTCCTCCAAGCTACCCAGGATGCTGTGTGGGAGAATCATTCCTTCCTCATCCAACTGGAGCCCTTGTACTTCCGAGGAACGCAAGGATTTGAAGTTACGTTTTCGATTTTCTGTGTTCTTTTTAACCTCACCTTCCATGAGTAACACTATTTGGTGGTTCATGTTACCAGTTGAAAAAAAGCAAAAAATAAACATATGATGTTGTGATTCTCTAAGATACTTTGACGTCCGTTACTTATAGTAAAACTCAAGATGTATTTGCTAAAAACTAGTTTTTTATATCCACATCGCATACTGGAATGTTTCTTATCTTTAACCTTTGAAATGAATTTAAAGGCGTGGAATTGTTCATGTATAGCCACACTCTGTTTCAATTCAGTGATGTCACAGATCAAAGGCAAGTGGTTGTTGTTGTTTTTTGGCATCATGTTATTTCAGATGAAAAGTGACACAAAAGAAGTAAAAGAAGTTTTTTTTTTCTTTTGTTGGTAAAATCCTTTTTGGCTGCATGTTGTGTTACCACCTTCTAAACTGCTACTAGCTCCTGATGCTAGCTTGCATGCTCTTGCTCACCCCCAGCTCCTTCCTGTTCTCCCTACTGTTCTCCCCACTACACTTACAGTAGCTTAATTGTTATTTTCCCCTGGTTTATATTAGTTTTTTTTTATTCCACCTGTTAACAGTCCCTTTCCCCGTTCCTAGAAAGACTTCCACAAAAATAAATCTAATATTGTCTTTTGGCGACTTTGCATTTGACCCAGAAAGGCGCCCCAATGTTATTGCTGATACCTTTACTTTCATCACAACCACGAAATAGAAGCAGCATTATTGTTTTCATTCAGCAGGTGATTCATTAAAATGACATTTATTGGCGTGTCAAGTTATGTTGTATCACCAGGTAGGTAATTGGTTATTGTGAATATATCTTATGAAATAAGATAAAATTGTATGAACATTGTTTTCTGGTGAATTAATTAAATAAATAAGAAAACACTCTCAAGCAGTGCTTTTCTAACAACTTCCTAGCAGAGACACTGAAAAAAACCCACTCCACCAAAACAAGTAATAAGACAACACAGTGCTTTATTTACAATTTATCCCAGCCTTAGACGACTGTAACTTTTCTCGGCGTGCCGTTATTTTTCATGGGTGTCACCCTATGTTTTCCAGTCATATACAGCCTTCTCTGTAATCTTAGTGTAATTTTGCAAAATAATAAATAATAATAAAAACAACAATAATCAAATAATAATAAACATTGTTGTTGTTGTTATTATTATTATTATGTAATTTAAACGTTTAAATCGAGATACGAAAAGTATAAGTAAAACCCGAGCGATTGTATGTAGATTTTACATTTTCCTTTTCCGTGCTAGCTTGAACGTTACCAGTTTGCTGTTGCCGGAAATCGACATGCTCTAACATTTTCATACAGCGTCATATACGGCCTTTTCTGCCATCTTGAATTTCATTTCATTTCGCACACATTCGCGGTATTATTATGATGAAGTGATACAAACCTTTGACTAAAGGTACGAGAATTATCAGCAAAACCCCAGCTGAACAGTTAACCTGTTCACATTTCCGAGTTAGCGTGAACGTAACCACAGCTCGCCGTTGCCGGAAACGGAAGTGGGTGAGCTCGGGAAATGGGAAATAAACTTCGTTTACGCGCGCCTTCAAACGTTTGTTTACAACAGCGGAGGAGATAAACTGACCTTTTAGGTAAGCGGTGACACAGTGGAAGCCAATTGTAAATAGTGTCAGGCTAAAAAAGATGTATTTACATTAAATTTAGCAGACCCTTGTATCCAAAGCGACTTACAATTTGATGAAAACAAACCATTTACAATAGTTGAAAATGCAAATATGTGGACACGTGTTTCGTATCTCTGACCTATATGTTAGAATTGCTTGTTTTTGACGTCGCTCTTTTGGATCTTAGTTAAGCTATTATTAGCTTCTTATTTTTGTTTGTCGTTTATTGGCCAGGACGACCGATTTATAAATGTGGTTTTGCACAAACTTTTTATTTTGACGCTTTATCTTTTTCTGCCTACTCTTACAGGATTTCGTATTACATCGACATGCTCCTGGACCCCGAACAGGAGACTAGGATGGGACGGGCGTTTGAATCCTATCTTAGAGCGCATCACCATGATGACATTCTCCAGCTTATTGAAGAAAATGACGGGGAGACCCATCGGCCTCTTATAGTTAATGCCATGACACTGTTTGAAGCCAACATGGAGGTAATGTTTAAGACACGCAAAATGCGTAAAGTTGAACCATTACGTCACAAAAACATTTACAGTGTAATAAACAAAATACGTCCAATTTTAGTTCTGTCGCTTTGTAATTATATAAACCATGAAATAATAAAAAAAGGGTGGCACGTTTCCCTTTTGGGTGTATCGGGAGTGGTGACATCTGCTGGATATAAAAAATAATTACACTGGAGAAAGCAAAACCAATCAAGAAAAACCCAAATATTCGACCTTTACAGTATTTATTTTTTCAAACATTTTTTTATATGTGGCTCTTAGTGTAATAACTATATTTATTCTATCGCAATATATCACAAAGGCTTTGGACCTGTAGTGTGTACTGTATATATGCATATTTATATGTGTAAAAACATGTATAGGTTTTTATGTTTGTATATTTGCAAAGAGATCTCACCTGTGATGCGAGCATGTAGCGTACGTCTCATTCTCTCCTCCTTTGTGAGTTGTCCACTGCACTGTGTGGTGTGAGCATTCTTCGATAAGTCAATGGCTGTTCTGTGTAACACTTTATCGAAAATGGTCAGGACATCGTTGGGATAGGCGTTGAAATAGTCCCCAACCTGTGCATGATACACACCACCTGGTTACTACTTACACACAAACAGTAAAAAAATGTATTTCAAAGTTTCATTATATAAATGTATACATTTATATAATGAAACTTTGAAATACATTTTTTTACTGTTTGTGTGTAAGTAGTAACCAGGTGGTGTGTATCATGCACAGGTTGGGGACTATTTCAACGCCTATCCCAACGATGTCCTGACCATTTTCGATAAAGTGTTACACAGAACAGCCATTGACTTATCGAAGAATGCTCACACCACACAGTGCAGTGGACAACTCACAAAGGAGGAGAGAATGAGACGTACGCTACATGCTCGCATCACAGGTGAGATCTCCACCGGCAAACTGCAAAGAACAAATTTAAATTGTCGTAAAGGCGTGACCCTTTAGGAAAATGGTTTCTATTGATACAAAATAAAAATTGCCTTTTATATTTAATATACTGTATAGGCAAAATAGAGCTCATATATATATCTTGATTTTTGAATAAGGAAAGGACTGTTAGGTCTATTGTGGGTCTTAATGACCTTGTCATACCTTTGTGTCTGTAGGCCTGCCACTTTGTCCAGAACTAACCAGAGACACCATACCCAGGTCTCGAGATGTAGGACACTTCCTGTCTGTCACTGCTACTGTGATTCGCACCAGTGTCGCAAAGGTGACTGCGTGGAATGTTTGTTTTTTTACTGCGCTGTGTTCACTCTTTAATGTCATAGGAGTCTGTTTCCCTTTGGTCACACTTTTTTCCCCGATTATGGTAAAAATCATGTACTGTATTTTCTGGTCTATAGAATGATCCGGAGTATAAGTCGCACCAGCCAAAAAAAAAAAAAGGTAAAAAAGGGCTGCTAGAGTGCCCTCTAGCGGCTGTCAGTGTGAAAATAACAAACATGTGATATAATATATTTGAATATATAAGTCGCACCTGAGTATAAGTCGCAAATCCAGACAAAGGATGAAAAAAAAAGTGACTTATAATCCGGAAAATACGGCAATTGCTTTTGTCAAGATTTGGCAGAAATCAAAGTATATAGTAATTTTAATTTTTTTTAATTTACCTCTCCTGTTCTAGGTTCTGGAATATGAGCGCCATCATATGTGCAACAAGTGTCGCTATGTTTTTGCCCTGGAGGCTGACTTTGAACAGTTCTACACCTTTGTTCCTCCTTTGACCTGCCCTAATCCTGATGGCTGTAATTCCCAAAGATTTTGTTGTCTCTCTGGAGTGTCTGAGCCCGGGGCCTGCAGAGATTATCAGGAGATCAAAATTCAAGAACAAGTAAGGAGAATCCTTACTGTTTTTTTTTTCTTTTTATTATTGATTTCTTTATTTATTTTTCATTTTCACCGTATGGCTTGATTGTATTACTTGGTCAGTAAGAAGATTGTCTTTGTACTTCCAGGTCCAGAGGTTATCAGTGGGCAGTATTCCTCGTTCTTTGGTGGTAATTCTTGAGGACGACCTGGTTGACAGTTGTAAATCTGGTATGGCTCATTTGTTAGTCTTGAAGTAGACATCTAGCCGGAGTATCACAAACATAAGCGAACACCAAGAGACGAACCTGAGTGAACGACCTCAATGCAACTAAAGGTTTCGTCTTTTGCCTGTTTTTCCACAGGTATAGCCAATATTTAGCTGTTCCAAAGTTATCGTTACACACTACACACAATTGGTTAAAATACCCTATTTAGCTGTTCCAAAGTTATCGTTACTACACACAATTGGTTAAAATACCCACATTTCCAAGAACTGGAAGAAGTAGTTGGTCCTCCATGGTTGTACGGTACAGCCCAGTGTTGCCATATAGCAGTAGCTACTTCTCAAATAGCGTGGAATATGGCACGCTGGATATAAGTGTACCGCAGCTGTAATGCCTGAATGATAACAAGCCTCCAGTCACTAGGTGGCAGCAACTCATACAGTAGTTTGTACAGATACAAAATATACACGTTATCTGGTTCCCATTAGTATTTCGGCAGCCACTGGATTTCATCTATGCTTTTTGCGGATGATGTTGTATTGTTGGCTTCTTCGAGCCAAGACTAATGCGGTAGCTGTATCGGTCCTTTGTGGTGAAGAAGGAGCTGAGCCGAAAGGCAAAGCTCTCGATTTACCAGCCAGTCTACGTTCCTACCCTCACCTACGGTCATGAACTTTGGACCAGGACCGTAAGAACAAGATCCCGGATGCAAGCGGCTGAAATGAACTTTCTCCATACGGTTGCGGGGCGCTCCCTTAGAGATAGGGTGAGGAGGTTTGTCAAGCGGGAGGAGCTTGGAGTAGAGTTGCTGCTCCTCCACATCGAGAGAGTCATTTGAGGTGGCTTGGGCATTTACATTGTATGACCCCCGGATGCCTCCCTCGGGAGGTGCTCGGGTCGTGTCCTACTGGGAGGAGACCCAGAGGATGGGTTCGGCTGGCCTTGAAACACTTCAGGATCCCCCTTAGAAGAGGTGGAGGAAGTGTCTCGGGAGAGGGAAGTCTGGGTGTCTGCGCTCAGACTGTAGCCCCCGCAACCCGGACCCGGATAAGCGACATTGTATCTACTTTGTATTTGCAACACAGTATAACAAAACATGATCGAAAACTCATTCTAGAAAAGAAAATGTCTCTGGGGTCGATAGGAATCTGTGATGTCATAACGGGGTCACAAACCTCAAAAGGTTGGGAAGCCACTGCTGTATGGTCATTGCGCAAGAATTTTCACGTTTCCGTGGAAAATTATGGAACCTCTTGTTTTCTGCACAGGAGATGACGTGACTGTCTTTGGTGTAATATGCCAGCGGTGGAAGCCGTTCAGCGACGGCGCTTTTTGTGATGTGGAATTGGTTCTCAAAGCAAACAACATAGAAGTGAACAACCAACAAATGGCTCCTTCTCTCCTCATAAAGGACTTTGAGCAAGAGTTTGGAGACTTTTGGCAAAGCTACAAACATGATCCCATAGCTGGTACGTACTGTTTTTGATCAGATCATCTGTATTTCTCATTTGTTTTAAATGGTGCTCCTTCGCTTTTTTTTTTTTTTTTTTTCTGTAGGTCGAGATCACATCCTGTTGAGCATGTGCCCGGAGGTATTTGGCATGTATGTGGCTAAACTGGCTGTGGCCATGGTCTTAGCTGGTGGTGTGCAGAGGATAGATCGTTCTGGAACAAAGATTAGGGGTATCGGTCTAATTCTATCCCAACCTAACGGTTACCCTTAATTATACTAGAAGTAAAGATTTCTGGTAATTATTACTAGATAAAAACCCTAATGTCGTTTGCCTTTTGTTGATGTTATTATTTGAAGGTGAGTGTCATATGTTGCTGGTTGGTGACCCTGGGACCGGGAAATCTCAGTTTCTGAAGTATGCCGCAAAGATCATACCTCGGTCTGTGCTCACAGCTGGAATTGGATCTACAAGTGCAGGTTGGATCAACAAGTGCACCTTGTCCTAAGTTAGAGCCAGGGCCAAAAATCGGCAGCAACATAATGCAAAATGTTTTTTAAGTACCGTATTTTCCGGATTATAAATCGCACTTTTTTTCATCCTTTGGCTGGGTTTGCAACTTATATATTAAATTATATAATTTCACATGTTTGTTGTTGTTACACTGACAGCTGCTAGAGGGCACTCTAGGCTTGTGTACCAGTGCTACTCCTGTACCACTGAAAATTTACATGTTCGTTATTTTCACCCTGACAGCCACTAGAGGGCACTGTTGTGACTCGTTATCCTTATATATATATTTTTTTTTTTCATTCTTCGTTTTTCTTTTTTTGGCTGGTGCGGCTTATACTCCAGAGCGTCTTATAGTCCAGAAAATATGGTACTTGCTTTGTCCTTAAAATTGTGATTGTGGGTAGCTTTATTTTGTAAAGGCAGGGTGTTCAATTTGGCCTTATCGGTAGATCAATTAAGCAATAATGGATTTATGTTGTCCCAAAAAGATAAAAAGGCAAAAGATTAAAATGTTAGCTACACCTAAATATGTATACATTTGCTTCAGGGCTGACAGTCTCAGCTGTGAGAGATGGAGGTGACTGGCACCTGGAGGCAGGAGCTCTGGTCCTATCAGATGGTGGTTTATGTTGCATTGATGAATTTAACAGCATCAAGGAACACGACCGCATCAGTATCCACGAGGCTATGGAACAGCAGTCCATTAGTGTGGCCAAAGCTGGGTAAGTCCCCGTTGCCATTTGTGTTCCCCATAAAAATGTTGTGTTGTTGGAACTCTATTTAAAGATATAGAATTTTAGGATGCCCTTACGTCTTGGTCATGGCGACCTACAATCTAGTGTAGATTGCAGAGTAGGTTGGAACTCATACTGTACACAAGTACCTACATCGCTCATCTACACTAACACAGTGGTAATATTATACTGTAGGACATAAAAACCTCAGAAAAGTTTGACTTGCACATAGGAGCCGTACTGAAGGGCAAAACGTTCTCCAAAAAAATCAAACACAAATGAGAGAACGAAAATCTATTTAAGTCTGTAAAGTCTGATAAGACAGATGTGTTTTGTGAATTTGACCTATACAAAAAAAAAAAATTGAATTGACTTGATGTCAGAATGATGGATCAAGAGTTTTGTAATAAATATTTGGGAGATGACGGTGTAACCAAAAAATGACCAAATGACCAAAAAAAGAGTCACCACCAAAAAAAAAGGTTTACTTCTGTCCAGTGTTGTATTAAATTTTCATGAAAATCTTGTATTAAAATGCATAAGGGACAAAGGGACGGCAAGACAGCATGGCAGGTGTGCTATCAGAATGACAGATGGGCGAAGGAAGGCATTGGAGCACTGGCTTCTTTATGGCTTTGTGTTTTTGGAATGATTGTATATACTGTATTTTCAGGAGTATATGTCGATCCGGAGTATAAGTCGCACTAGCCGTATGATAAAAAGTGCTACTTACAGGAGTAGCAGATACTGATACACAAGCCTAGAGTGCCATCTAGTGGCTGTCAGTGGGAAAATAATTGCATTCTTTACACCTGATCACCGTTCTTCCAAGTACCGTATTTTCTGGACCGGAGTGTAAGTTGCACCAGCCAGCCAGAGTGTGAAAATAAAAAACATGTGGAATTATATATTTTAAAAATATAAGTCTCCCCTAAGTATAAGTCACAAACACAGCCAAAGGATGAAAAAAGAGCAACTTATAGTCTGGAAAATACGGTACTTTAGCTCAGTTTCCCACAATGTATAATGTACAAGGACATGGACTTCTTTGCATCAGTTTCATGTGCTGTTAACAAAAACCCGATGGACAAAAACACAAGAGTAGAAGTTCATCCTTCTTCTGAATTCTGTCATTCCCTTTAGGATTGTTTGTAAGCTGAACACCCGCAGCACCATCCTAGCAGCCACCAACCCTAAAGGCAAATGCAATCCCAACGAATCTGTGACCGTAGCACTGGCCAGTCCACTACTGAGTCGATTCGACCTCGTCCTGATTCTGCTGGACACGATGAACGCAAATTGGGACCACGTCATCTCCTCTTTTATCCTGGAGGAACGAGGTACAGTCTGGGATTTGATTTCGTGCCGCTTATTCTTAATCATAGGGCCACGGCCCAAACTGTAGCCGTAAGCTCGACTAAGAGGGTCGCAAAAAACGTTTAGTTTGGCACCTGTGGGCTACAAGGGCCATGGGACTGCGTAGGTTATCAACTGAAGAAACCAAGAGATACTGTATGTTGTTCACGAGAAGCCCAGTTACAATGCAGCTTTTGCCCACGTGGTGGCAGTAATGCATCAGTCAGTTAACAAGCTCCAATATGCAGAAAAGAAGACTTTCTGTTTTCTTTCTGGTTTTGCTCGTAGGTCTGCCCTCCGAGGCCTGCAGCCTGTGGCCCCTGGAAAAGATGAAGGCCTATTTCAGCATCATCAAACAGCTCAAACCCGTCGTGTCGGAGGATGCCAATACGATTCTTACACGCTACTATCAGCTGCAGCGGCAGAGCCATTGCCGCAACGCTGCGCGCACTACAGTTCGCATGCTGGAGAGTCTGAGCAGGCTAGCAGAAGGTGAGGTGCCATGGTTAACATCGCACATGATTGACGTCGCACATTTGATTATTTTCGTTACAAAAAGTCATATGTGTTAGGGCTGCACAATTATGGCCAAAATGATAATCTTTTTTTTTTTTTATAAATGTCAAAATTCGCAATTATTAATCACAGTTATTCATTACTGGACTATTGAGCGCACCTGAATATAGCCGCACCCACTAAATTTAAAAATAAAAATATAATTGTACATATATAGGCCGCACTTCTCTATAAGCCGCAGGTGTCCACGTTGCAACATGGGATATTTACAGATTCATACAGATTTATAAATAATATATATATGTATGTATATATGTGTATATGTATATACAGTATGTGTATATGTATGTATGTATGTATATATGTGTGTATATATATATGTGTATATATGTATGTATATATGTATATATATGTATGTATATATGTGTGTATATATATATGTGTATATATGTATGTACAGTATATATGTATGTATATATGTATATATATGTATGTATATATGTGTATATGTATATACAGTATGTGTATATGTATGTATGTATGTATATATGTGTATATATCTATATATATATATATATGAATGTACCGTGGAAGACAAGTATAAAACCGGATAATTTGTTTTTGACCTTTGCAGCACATGCCAAGATCATGTACAGGGAAATGGTGACTATAGAGGACGCTATAATCGCCGTCTCCGTAATGGAGTGCTCCATGCAGGTAAATTATTTTTATTTATTTATTTTTTTAGAAAAGACGGATAACATCAAGTAGATAAGCTGCACAAGAGGTCCATGAAGAGTGTCTGCTAGTACAGCTTTTCTGCTTCTCTTCTTTCAGCTTTTTAATCCAGCCCCAAACATTTTCCAATTATATATTTATTTATTTTGTCATTATGCTTCTGCCTTTTCCCTGCAATACCCATGTTGCCTCAATAAACGGCGTAGAATCAGCATTTTAGCCAATATGCATGACAGTTACATGTCAGAAGACAAGTATAAAACCGGATAATTTGTTTTTGACCTTTGCAGCACATGCCAAGATCATGTACAGGGAAATGGTGACTATAGAGGACGCTATAATCGCCGTCTCCGTAATGGAGTGCTCCATGCAGGTAAATTATTTTTATTTATTTATTTTTTTAGAAAAGACGGATAACATCAAGTAGATAAGCTGCACAGGAGGTCCATGAAGAGTGTCTGCTAGTACAGCTTTTCTGCTTCTCTTCTTTCAGCTTTTTAATCCAGCCCCAAACATTTTCCAATTATATATTTATTTATTTTGTCATTATACTTCTGCCTTTTCCCTGCAATACCCATGTTGCCTCAATAAATGGCGTAGAATCATTAGCCAATATGCATGACAGTTACATGTCATTAAAATTAATTCACAAGGTCCATCTATCTGCTCCTGACCCGGCCCCCCCCGTTCAATTTTAGGACAATTGTGGCCGGCGAGGAAAAAAGATTGGCCACGCCTGTGCTAGCCGTACATAAACGCATGAAGTACCACGTTGTCTTACCAATATAAATAGTGGGTTTTGACACAAGCATCAGCATTTCATGTAGCTTGATGTTAATTCTCCTTTTCGTAAGTCTCTTTGGATAAACCCAAAAGATTCTAGCTTGGGTTTAAAATTAAAACAATTTGTGTTTTTTTTTTTTTAACTGCTTCCCCCTTTAGGGCGGCGCTCTGTTGGGTAGAGTCAATGCTCTACTCACTACATTCCCCACTAATCCCGGTAAGCAGTATGAAGAACAGAGTCGGCTGTTACTGGAGGGACTGAATCTTCCACAGCTTCTACAGAAGGAGATGCAGAGACTGGCAACGTAAGTTGTTGAGAAAAAAAATCTGGATAGACAAGAGTTGAAGCAGCCCGCGTCCTATTGAACTGGGCCTGATGGGATCGCTGCACCCCAGGGATGGGTTTGTGTACATGCAGAGGACACATTTTGTATCCGTCCAATGTTGGTCAAAATTTCAGGACCGAACATCGCAAAAAGCAGCTATAGCCCGTCCGATCTGATACCTAAGCGCAAATGCAAGCTTTGTGAGCTTTGCCATGGACAACGACACTGTCCCCTTAGCAACGACAACCTGCAAGATGCTGGAGGACAAAAGACGCTATCAGATTGATATTGTTATCAGCAGATACTCCAAAGTGCAGTATTGGTATGAGATGTGAAAACTTTCGTTAGTATCTTAATGTCGTTTTAATATTTTAAGACCTATTTTTAGGACTGTAAGTCGCACCGGCCAAAAAATGCATAATAAGGATGAAAAAAAAAAACAGCTACTGGTACACAAGCCTAGAGTGCCATCTAGAGGCTGTCAGTGTGAAAATAAACATGTACATTTTCAGTGGTACAGGAGTAGCAGATACTGGTACACAAGCCTAGCCTGCCCTCTAGTGGCTGTCAGTGTGAATATAACATGTGAAATTATATATTTTTTGATGTATAAGTCGCAAACCCAGTCAAAGGATGGAAAAAGCGCATTTTATAGTCCAGAATATACACTTAGTAAAATAGGTCCTGATGAAGATTTGCACTTCTCGGCTATATATTAATACTTTCTGATTGTGAGTGCAGATATTGCTTGACAAAATAGTGTATTTGTGAAAATGCAGACATTAATCTGTATTTTTGTTTCCAGACAAAAGGCCAACACTTCCGATCTACCAGAGATGGATTCTTCGGGTCCTGAAATTCAAACTCACCTCAGAAACTTCGACGATAGGTCCCCTCTGCACGGCATAACAACTGACCCCAAGGGTGATTCGACAGAGGAAATGGGCTTGAATTGGTTCCTTTCTATGAATCCATCAGAGTCCTCAAGAACTACGAACTCACCAAATAACACGTCGCCTCATTACCTGAAGGCAAAGCCGGCCTCAAACCAACAGGCCGGGTGTAAAACTAAAAAGAATATCGAAATACATAATACTTTTGGAAGCGAAGAAGAAGTAAACCAGATTGAGCAACGCAAAGACTTATCGGGACGTGCGAGCGTGTGCCAGAAAGTCGCTAGGAATCTGAGAGAAAAGCGACTGCAACAGCTGAAAGATCAGGACAACGATGGGGACAACGTGCTGTCCACGAGAAAAAAGAAAACGTGTGTCTTAAATTCCGCATTAGATTCCCATAGCGGTAGCACGGCGGCATTGGGGAACATCTTTACATCGAATAACCAGGTGGAGAGCAGTGGCTTACAGGTTCAAGGCGAGAAAGACCACAGAAATCAGATCGGGAATAAGAACTTGTCTGCGACATCAGAGGAAACAGTGAAAGTCCTGCACCCCGAGTTGTTGCAGTTCTCGTTTAAACAGAGGAAGGCGAACCCTGCGCTAGAGCTCGCGACCGAAGATGAAACGGAAGACATCCACGTCCCAACGCAAAGCAGAGAACGTAACCAGAAGTCAGGACAACATAACGGTTTCCCTAACCCAGCAGCAGCTGACAAACAGGCGAGTAAAGGGCGGGAGAAGGGTAAAAACATTCCTGAAAGTGGGAAGAAACTGCTTGGTGTCGGGAAGGAGAGTCTCACTAGTGAAAATACCTCATCTGGACAGGAAAAATCGCCAACCGTTCTCGCAAAATGTCGAGCTAAGAAAAGGGGAGAAGCGGAAAACATGCGTCAGGAACGCAGATTTGACGGTTCTCCTTTTTCCCGGGAACCGAGCATCTCCATATCGTCACTGGCCGAAAGGTTCTCGTTCACATCCAGTAAAAAATCCACAATCACAACTCAACCACAGGAGGGCAGAAATCTTCTCGCACAAGCGAAGAAGCACGTTGAACACTCAAAGACAAACGTAGCTAATGCGAGTCAAAACCTTCCAGATTACCACGGACCCAATGCGTTTCTAGACCAAACTGTGCCTGTTGAACAACGGCAGCATACGAAGAAGAGGACATTTTCCCATTCGGATCCACCGACGACTGGCTGTAGTTCTAAGCGTTCTTTCTTCGATCGGTCACTGCTCGACTCCGAAGATCTAAGTAATGACGTACTCGACACTGACTGGGACCTAGAGAATTAAAGGTGCGAAACACACAAATATATTTAGGCTCCTTTCTCACGGGTAATACCCTTATTTTTTATGCCGGTGATAAATGTATTGTTTATTATGAGCACATGAAGGCACTGAATCAGTCTGGGAATCACATGAACACTTTGTTCCTATTATGGTAAGTGGTGTTACTGTAGAGTCCCCATTTAAAATACTGCAAACTACAGTAATTTCCAGACTACGAGTCACACTTTTTTCCCCATCCCATGGCAGGGTTTGCAACGTATACTTAGGTGTGACTTATATATTAAAATATATAATTTCACGTTTGTTATTTTCACACTGACAGCCGCTAGAGGGCACTCTAGGCTTTTGTACCATTATCTGCTAAAAAGCTGAACGGACCACATCCGGCCCTGTGCCTTAGTTAGTTAATGTAAAGAATGGATGCTCTGTGCGTGTTTGGAGGTATTTATAGTTGTTACAGAATTGCAGAACAGTAATATTTACTTTGAACGGAGTGAACATAAAAAAAAAAAAAAGAGCCGTTTAACACACGCACACGCATCGCTCACCGAAACTCTTGAACTCGAGCTCTCGATTTTGATACTGGACTGTCAATCTGGAACTCGAACAATAGCCCTTGCCAAAACGCACAACTTAAAGGGATGCTGTCGTGAGAAGCCTGTCGCCACTTCTTTCGGATAACTATGAAAAGAAAATTTAAACTTTGAAACAAACCAGCTGAGGAACGGTTGACACAGTGATTATAGTTCTGGGGTGTTCAGAAATAAATAAAAAAAAAAAAATTTGAACTGCAACTCGGCTACTTCAAATTGTGTAAGAGTTTTGCGGGGACTTCTCCTTCTCTTCTCGTGCTCGTATCGCTGTCGAGCTGCGGAGAGTCGGCCTCCAGGCTAGCAGGGCTCAGTCCGGAGAAGTAGAAAATCGTCTCCTCGCTGGCCTCTTCCTCTGTCAGAGGTTCCAGGCGGATCAGGGCGCTGCTGAGGGGAGATTGCAGCTCCGGGCTGTCGCTCAGCAGTTCTAAGGCCGGTTCAGCCTCCGCAGGAGAGCCGAGACTGGAAGAGGGCTGACGGTTTGCCCTGGAGGTTCTTGTACATCTGCTGCTGGTGCCCAGATCGAGCTCTGACGGTGAAGTGCGGCCGTCCACGAAGGCCAGCAGGGGGGAGGATGTGTACTGGATCAACTGCTTATCTGAACAGTGGGAAACAACATTAGCTGCACAGGATGGAATAGGTGAACCAAAAAAAAAAAGAAAAAGAAATTACCATAATTTCTTGACTATTGAGCGCACCTGAATATAAGCCGCACCTCTCTTTCACTTTTAATTAAATAAATGCTTTTTTCCCCCCCCTGAACGGTGCCTTTAACATGGCTAGTTACAAGTTAGCTCTTTACGATCGTAGTTGGAATGCACAGGGGAGCCTTAGTGATCTGCTCCAGAGCCGAAGCTAACATTAGCTCTGGGGCTAACTCCCTTCACTTTGTGCTTGTCCGCAGCAGAAGTGAACAGAAACAGGGAAGTTGGGGTCGTCATTATCAGCCACATCGAGCACAACAGCTCACGCTTCAACATGACAGGGCTCAAACTGCTCTCAACTTTAGCTACTGTTCTCTCTCTTTGGGCCACCCCACGCACATATACGGACACAGCCATTCACAGACAGACATACGCTACTAGTATAACGCACAGTAGCCTACCAAAAAAGTCATTGATCGCTAGTGGTGAGCCGCAGGGTTCAAAGCGTGTGGAAAAAAAGTAGCGGCTTATAATCTGGAAATTGCAGTACAAGGAGCGTTGAACGTGCTACAACAAATGCTACAATGACACATGGCTGTGTTCGGACCACTTACGTGTGTTGTCGTTTTCTTCTGGTTTGCCGGTTTGCATCATTGCGCTGCTCTCTTTGAAGGACAGGCTCTCCTAATAGATGTACGCACATTTTATAAACAATTCAATTCAAACAAACAATAACTTTACAAAATCCCCCGTTTGTGCAAATGTAGGTATAATCAATGCTGGTGCGAAGGCAAAGTGTTAAGCAGAAACTGTTATTCAGACACATTTACGTTGCGTCAGACCTTTGATTTGACTGAGCTTTACGTCACTTTACCTCCATGATGTCAAAATCGACACCGAACGGTTTCCCACACAGCATGGCCTGAAAATCCTCCAGACTGCAGTCAATGCTGTCCAAATAGTCCATCAGATCCACCCTAGCAACGAACATAAACCCGTTACTTCAAACAGCTCTAGTTGCTGTTCTATATCGCATCAAGGTTACATTAGGAGAGAGGTTCTCAAAGTGGGGGGGCACGGCCCTCGGGGGTGCCATTGCAGCGGGGGTATAGTTGGAATGAATGAATGAAACGTAAAATGTATTAAAGGCACAAGTCTAAAAACAGAATGTGTGCATTTGCTGTTTTTTTTTTTTTGGGTGGGGGGATGCGAAATGTTCTTATAATCAAAAGAGGGGCTCTTAATTATAAGTCGCACCAAGTGCCCTCTAGAGGCTGTCAGTGAGAAAATAACATACGTAAATTTTCAGTGGTAAGAGAGTAGCAGACACTGGTACACGAGCCTTGAGTGCCCTCTAGTGGCTGTCGGTGTGAAAATAAAATAAGTGAAATGATATATTTTAATATATAAGTCACACCTGAGTATTAGTAGTAGCCAAAGGATGAAAAAGATTTTTTTTTTTAAATCCGATCTTGCGAAATTTTCATTGTGAAATATAGCAAATAAACAAAATGACATTATAAAATACATATGAAACGTTTGGCTTTAACTATGTGGATTCGCGTTTTGAAGCGCATTTGCGAACAATCGCTTGTAGCTTTGTTTACCTAGACAAGCTCGTACACAGCATACTATTGGCTAATACAGTGCATACTATTGGCTAATTGAGCATGCTCTTCTGTTCCTCACGCTGATTGGCTCATGCATCGTAGCATTTCTCAGCATCTGCCCTTGTCTGTCGACCACTCTCTCGTTCACTTCGCTCCCCGTCGCCATTATACGGCTCTACTCGCGATTTTTTCCATTTCGCGGTGGGTCGCGAAATGAAACGCAACTTCCGCATTAGGAGAGATCACTGTATTGATACATTTTTGTGTCTAAAATAATTATGTCAACATAGCAACCCATATTTTAAAAGTGTATTACGTCAAGCGCAATACGGAGGTACTATTCACATAGCATTAGGCCGACTTCATTGTAAAATACAATTGTATGCGATATACTGCCTGAGCTCTGTCATTTTGTCAGTCCTCGGCCTAAAAAACCTAGGATGAAGATTCACCGCGAAAATTAGCGAGCTGAAAATGAAAGAACCTATCCGTATTATTTCGGTCACTTACTTGCCCAGCAGGTTTATGTTCTGTGAAATCGCTCCGTTCTCAGTCAGTATGGTGTCCATCATCTTAACCGGGTCTTCTTGACTCAGGCCCGAGGGTTTGTTCTGTTGCGGTGGACCGCTGGTCGCTCCTATGTTGTGCAGACTGCTCCCTGGCGCTGCTAACTTATCGGCGTCTTTGTGTTTGCCATCTGCGCAGGTGGCACTGACTTCGGTCTCCGTTGGGAACACCGAATGGCTGTCTGTCTTCACCTCCACGATTTCAACGTCACTGTGTGGGGTAATGAGATGGTTAGAAAGTTGCGAGAAAAAATACCCTTGGAATTACTTTTGGTCTTCATCGAAGTCACAGCGGCGCGCACAGCACATCCGCTACTCTATTTCCTGGGTCTTCTATTGACACAGTCCAAATATTTTTTTTTTTCACGTTTTTTGTTTCACGTGCATAAACCCCAACTGTCCTTTAAAAAGTCCCTCAAAAAGACTTTTTAAATCACTCCCTTTTCACCGAAAATACAATATCAACAGATCTTTTAAAATTTAAAAGAATACTGTAGTGGTTAAAATCTTGGCTAGTCGTAAATTAGCTAGCTCTGAGGCCTAAAAAGCTCCAGTTAGGGCCGATGCTAACAAAAAAAGTTTCTGGTACGGACCAATGACAAATCTTTTCAGTTGAGCACGAATGTTTCATGTGTGCACAGTTGCGGAAACGAAGTAAGCCAGTAAGCTAACCTCTTTTTCTTGTAATCGAGTAATCCGTTCTCTTTGCATACAACTATACCCAGTGAAATGACCAGATGTTTGCATCTGTTCTTCAATAAAATTAACGACACGTATAACATCCAAAGCAATGTATGCCTTGTGCCGAAAATTCAACATTCTTTTTAAGTGTCTTTGAGACACAACATAACCGTGACTACTTGCAAGCAAAGCCGTAATGTCCTTATAATGAAGTCCCAGGAAACTTTTCTGAAACTTTCAGATACCCACCCGAAATGTTTTTTTTGCCCCGTCTACCTTTAAGGGCGGGGTGTCAAGCATACGTCCAGCAGAAGCCAAAACTGACCCGCTAGAGCAGGCATGGGCAAACTACGGCCCGGGGGCTGGATGAGGCTCGTTAACCCTTGTTTAAATTATGTTATTTATTTTTATTTTCATTATATTTCTGCCTTTCCCCTGCAATGCCAACATTTCCCCAATAGATGGCATCGAAAAGGCTCAAAGGCATTATAGCATTTTAGCCTTTACTGACTTTTACATGTCATTTGTTTTAGTTCATACAAACGCTCCATCTATCTGCTCCTCACCTGGCCCCCTGTCAAATTTTAGGACCTATTGTGGCCCGGGAGTCAAAAAATGTGTCCACGCCTGCACCAGGGGTTTTAATCCGGCTCGTTTGATGAATTTGGAATGTAAAATAATGCAGAAGCACTTCAGGTTTGTGATGTTTTGTCAAATGATATTTTATTTTACTTTTTTAGAATTTACTTGTATTTATCTGCATGAAAACAAAGGGAAAAAACACACAGATTTATTGTTATTTATAGGTAACTATGTTATGATTCTAGTGGTCCGGCCCACTTGTATGTGGCCCATGAACTAACGTGAGTTGCTTTAGGGGCTCCCTAAGGCCAGTCTCAAGAACGATTTAGAACAATCTGGAAAAAAGGTTGCTAGTACTACCTTTGCTCATAGGCCCTGGTGGAGTCCTCTGTGATGTCAGCTGTCACCTCAGTTTCATTTGCCGCCATGTCACACATGAAGACGTCGTCGGCGATCTCAGAGCCTCTTACACTACTCAGAGTGCTGACAGATGACTGTGGGGAAAAAAGGACAATGTTAAATAAATCAAGACATCACTCTTCTGAAAAGAAAAATATCAAATCAACAAATCTGTGACCAAGTACCTCAAAAAACAACAGCGCAATTTCTCTTTTTGTTCTTTTTTTAAAGTTACGGTACAATAGTGGTTTTCTTAAAATGATTCTCCGAGTCCTTTAAGGCTTTAATATACAAAAGATCATTTACGGCCATTGTGGCAAGGAGCGCCTTAAAGATTATTCACTTAGGTTACGTTCCAAGACCTGCGACAGGCAAAAAACCAAAAAAGTAGAGATGCGATAGTTATCATATTTTTTACGTATATATATTAACCCTTTACGAACCCTTTAGGAGGCATCGTAGGGCGTGAAGTATGGCAAAAAATAAATTACGAAACATTCACAAATCTCGTTGACCCGTACCGTACAGGTTGTTTCTAGCAATATCCTGTATTTATGCGTCACAAAATGTCTTTTTAATGAAATTACTTTAATTTCTTTTTTTTCTTCTTAGGTTAGAAAATGCTTATATTATCTAGAAAATTTTCTTATATAACGCAAAAACTAACAAAAGAATCTGGCGTGATCTCCGAACCCACGATACATCGAGGGACATTTTTCCCTTCACTTACTTTACTAAATTATAAGGGTAATTCACTGCGGCTATATAAACTCACCTGTTCCATGCACACGTCTTTATAGATTTGATAATTGCATTTGGGCATCTTTCCATCGTCCATAAGAATTGGTCTAAAGGAAAGACAAAGCATTCATTTAGTTTACTGTGTTGTAGCTGGTATTCCGTTTTTGCTAAATTAGCTACTTGGCCACAACTTCCTCTTCCACCTTGAGTGCTTCTCAAATAGTGGGGCGGGCCCACCTGGGGGGCGTGAGGACAGCTAAACATAAGTGTAATCACTGCTGTAATGCTTGATTGATAACAAGCCTCCAGTCACTAGGTGGCAGCAACTCATACAGTGGTTTGTACAGATAAAAATATACATAGTCCCAGTAAAGACTTTATGGAGGATTTCGTTGGTACATTATAAACAGCCTTTCTGTAAAATTTCTCATGACGGAATGGTCTGCGATCTTGATGAGGCCTTTATGCTGAATATTAGTAGGACACGTCAATCACTGCATAAACCTTTTTCGATTCGTTTGCCAGTTTCCCGGTTGTTAAGATATCGCAGATGCCGCCACTGAGAGATAAACTATAATTTTTTTGGTAAGTATGTAACAGCGTTCCTTTCTTAATCTCATTTGAGTTATGCAAGAAACAGGTCTTACCTTTTGCGTTTCAAATTGATGATGCGGTTTTGTTGCACCAGTGTGATGATGAACTGGATCAGCTGAATGAGAGGAAAAGAAAAATGAAGATCTTGATTACGTACAGTGCACTATTGTTAGCCTAATTCTTACATAATTAACTAATAGTTATTAACAATAGTCTAAATTTTGAGAAATGTTTATATGCAAGAATTGCAGCGTATATCGGGAATACTGATATCTCATACAAATACCGTATCTTCCGGACTATAAGTCGCACTTTTTTTCTCTGCTACTTCTGTACCACTGAAAATTTACATGTTCGTTATTTTCACACTGACAACTGCTAGAGGACACTCTAGCTGGCTGGTGCGACTTATACGCCGAAGCGACTTTATTGTGCATTTTTTGGTTGGTGCGATTTATACATCAGAGTGACATATAATCAGGAAAATAAGGTACTTATGCTGTATCAAGCAACTTAATACTTTTTTTTTTTTTTTTTACAACAACCAGCCTTGAATCGGTTAGCAATTGCTATTCGTTCAATTTCTTAAGTTCAGTGTCCTTTAGCTTTCATGGATATTTTTATTATGCAAGTAAAAATGCCAGCATTTCGGCCGTATTTTCCAATCAAGGACAGGAGCAGGGTGTCCTGGAGTTTTTTTTTTTCTGTTACAATGCGCTAAATATGCTAATGTTTCGTCATTAAAAATGCAAAAAAAAAACACAATCTGCACGCAAACTCTTAAGTTCTCCTACATTTCTCACCTTTCTGATAAGCTGTTGTTGGTGTGCGTGTTTCTGTGTCAGGTCTGCGATTTCCCTCCACAAAGCTTTATTATCCCTGAAAGAATTATAGAGCACATAAATCTCGAGTTCTTTGTTGGGAAAAAAAATCCAAGGTAACCAAAGTCAGCTCATTGTCAGGATCTACCAAAAGTAGATCACCGCGCCCACAGGGGTACGGGTGCCTCACTCTTACTGTGAGCGCCTGGGCTCAACGACAAGCATGTTGGCCCAGCACAAAACAGGGACATAGGTGCATCCTATGAGCAAACCATCAGAGGGAGGAATCGAAAGGGTCTGGTGCAGCCGTCCCAAGGCGGTGCTTCTTGTATCTAGCTGCACCTAAGGATTCTCCATATCTAGGGACTAGAAACGTTGTACTGATTTCTTTGCTAGACCTCGTATAATACCCATAGCTCCTCAGGTTTCCATCAATGTGCTGAAGTGTATCTCAATCGGCAAAATGGTTTCCGTGCCTTTTTCTAGGGTAGGTCTCATGACATTGCTGGAAGACATGTCAGTGTGCCCCCTTGTGGTTTCATGGTTCAATTGATTCCAGCATACAGACGAAACCCTTAGGCTCTGGTAACGTGTAATTAAGATAAAATGATAGACGAGTGCAACTGTGGAGGATTTAAATGTCTTTCTTGCCTTGTATTGACTAGGACACTTTCAGGACTTCCACTGAAATACCACATGGGTACACATAAGCTGTGACGTCTTCCATGAACTGCTAGATCGACTTGGTTGTAAAATCATGCACCAAAGTGACTTAAAACAATGACGTCCCCCGGTTCAAAGCCAAACTCAGGGAACGTTAAGGCAGAGTTTTAAAAATTGTCACTTTCCCATCTGTTATCCGCCGGTAGGTACAGTACAATCACCCCACCCCCAAAGTAAGGTGTCCTTCAGTGGCAAATTTGATTCTCAAACAAGTAATTATGAAAAAGTTCCCACAAACTGCACTCAGTGAGAGGTTCTCGCTTCAGGTTAACAACTTTCAAAATAAAGGTCTCGGTGACTGGAGACGGGGTATTAAACGAAAATGCCTCCCTCTGCACAAACGTTCTGACAAATGAGTGCTAAAATGCAAAAATAAAATATCCAGAAATTACTGTACAAACTTTTTTCAAGTGCAGTGGGAAAAACATCCTAACCATTATTATTTAAACTAATTATATTACTTAATTAGCGATTTATTTTGGAAACAGCACATATTGTGCATAATATCAACATATGAGATGCTGTATCCCATTTTAATTCATTTGTTTGCTTTACACCTTCCTAGTGAACTGCAATATCTAAAAGTATAATTAAATGTTGCAAAATGAGTACATCTCTGAAAATAAAACAAATCACAAAATTACAAATAAAATGTGAAATGAGAGATTGAAAATATACTTTTCAATGTATATATCAATTCATATCGAAATAATAATTAAAATGGCACCAGCACTTCATATTACTAACAATACAAGGGAAAGAAAATAGAACCTACACCAAATTATATTTACACACATGTATTCCTCGACTTGACAATGTTTATTCAACGAATTCAAGTCCGTAACATAGTTCAAGAACATAGGTCCGGTCCACTGAAACCCTGCTCAAGCAGTTAACAGCCACAGTAAATGCCGGCAGTACTGCTGTTGGGCTACAAAATACGTTGGTTAAAAGTGTGGTGTTTCAAGTTTTCAAAAACTAAATGCCTATGCTAATGTCGTCTCTGAAAAGGACTAATATATCCCCCGAGGCAAATTTGAGAAGCAGCAGCACTTGATCAGCACTTACGGTGGCGCAGTGGCCTGTGTCTTCCATATTGCTTCACTTCAGTTGGAATCTATGGAGGAGACAAGCTGGAGTTACCAATATCAGGCCTGGTGAAAGAATTCAAATGCGCCAAGGCAAGACTTGGAATTACCGCTGACTTGGAGGACAGGGTACCGTAATTTCCGGACTATAAGCCGCTACTTTTTTTCAAACGCTTTGAACCCTGTGGCTTAAACAATGATGCGGCTAATTTATGGGCTAACGAAGTTCATACCGCTAGCAATCACTGATTTTTCTGGTAGGCTACTGTGTGTTATACTAGTAGCGTATGTCTGTCTGGGAATGGCTGTGTCCGTATACGTGCGTGGGGCGCGCTCAAGAGAGAACGGACGCGGAAGTGTGTGGCTGATAATGAAGACTTCCCTGTTTCTGTTGACCTCTGCTGCGGACAAGCACAAAGTGAAGGGAGTTAGCCCCGGAGCTAATGTTAATTTTGGCCCTGAAGCAGATCAATAAGTCTCCCCTGGGCATTGCAACTACAGTCGGGGCGCCGAAGCAGGAACGAGCTAACGTGTAATTAGCCGTGTTACAGGAACTGTTTCGGAAAAAAAAGTGAAAAACAAATCTGTGTACATATCCCATGTAACAACGTGGACACCTGAGATGGTGGCCTATAGAGAAGTGCGGCCTATACAATTTTTCTTTTTAAATTTAGTGGGTGCGGCTTATATTCAGGTGGGCTCAATAGTCCGGAAATTACGGTAATTCCAACAGCTGGCTCACACAAGAAAGAAATGGAGTTCATCCGAATAGATCTGGATTGCCAAGTCTTGCCAGGGAGAGTTGGCCCTGGTCTCATCCCAAGCGCTACTCAGCGACACAAAGCTACACCAGTCCGTCAAGGACACATTGTTGCGTAGTAAATAAGAAGAGACGAACAAGGCTAGCAATCCACCAACGCTGTTTCCATGGACAAACAACATCAAAAAGGACTACCTAATTTGATCTCGGAGAAGACAAAACTTAGTTGTAGAGACATCTCGAGAGATGGAAGGACCTCAGATGGAGGCTCCTAGCCCAGCCCGGAACTTTAACCAATAGTTTCCAGATGACCAAGATTGCTCAATATGTCGAGCTTACGGCATCTTTAAAGCGCATTTTTAACCAGATGCTCAACAAGCCTCTCCCAAAGACGGTATATTTGGCCTCATAACAAAACATTAGCAAACACCTTCAACCTTGGAAGAGAGGAGGACGACTCCAAAGACTCTTGCCTCACACAAGTGTATTTGTATCCGCAGGCCTACCTCCTTGACACCAAAGGACTGTGATTGCACAAATGAACTGGAAGGTCAGAAATTGAGGGGTGCGTACCAGGGATGGGCCCATTTAAGATGACATGGGGTCGTCAATGAAAGACTCAATAACCAAGCCCATTACTAGGCCAACCTCGAATGTTCAGACTAAGCAAAGGGACTGAAACACTACATCGTATTAGCTCTACTCATCGATCTGTAGTGTCGGTCTGGGGGTAGGAAAATAATGTACAGGTAGATAAGTGTCTGGGATCAAGAAAAGTCACCGTATAGAGGACGGTACAAATGGATGTCAGGAGTGATGTGTGAAATTTTAAAAGCTTGAAAGGAAAAGTTTATGAGGTGATTCCAATAAACAATTTAAGTTTCAAATACAAACCAATAGTTTTAGTTTCACTTATATTCCGATTTATGCACAGAGACCTGAAAATAGTTTGTAATTTTTTCTCTGTTTGTACCTCTCGAGGTTCGCCAGTCTTGCGTCAGCGTTTTCCTGTTTGCTGTGAACGTTGTGGACACTTGCAAAGATCTTCGACACGTCGTCCTTACGAATTTTGGTATCTTCCGGACGAGTGTTGGAAGCCTGAAATCAGCAAAATGATTGTTAAGGTCAGAATTGCTCGGTGTATTGGTCAATACGTTCTGGCTTGGCCAAAATTCTCATCGATTGATTTTTTGTTGTTGATTTTGTATATGTATTTTTGTGTTCATTTCTTTAGGAGGAATGTATCAAGTTGTAATGGGGGTGTTTTCAGAGCACCCCGTAAAAATCTGTGCCCCCTTGTTTTCATTATTTTGGATCAGCCTAACCCACTGACAGACACATTGAATAATGTTCTAGAAAGCCTAGGCCCGCTGGTTTGCTAAATATTTATGTAGTTTTGAGTGTTTCATTTATAGTCAGTCCTCCTCTACCATGCCAAGCATTGTAACAAAAAGTCCATTAAAAATATACACATGCAGACTGTTCATTGTGTGTATATAAATATTTTTTCTTTATATATATATATATATATAAAGAAAAAAGAAAATATATAAAAGAAAAAAATATATATATAAAGAAAATGTATGTGTACCCTTTTGGATTACTTGGATTTCTGCATAAATTGGTCATAAAATATGTTCTGATCTTCATCTAAGTCACGTCACTAGACAAACACAGTCTACTTAAACTAATACTAATGATAAGTTTTCATGTTTTTATTGAACACAACATGTAAACATTCACAGTGCAGGGTGGAAAAAGTATGTGAACCCCTAGGCTAATGACTTCTCCAAGAGCCAATTGGAGCCAGGAGTCAGCCAACCTGGTGTCCAATCACTGTGATGACATGGTTAAAGCTGCCCAGCCCTATAAAAAACACACACCAGTTTTGGGATTTGCTGTTCTCAAGAGGCATTGCCTGATGTGAAACCATGCGTCGCACAAAAGAGCTCTCAGAAGATGTACGATCAAGAATTGTTGACTTGCATGAAGCTGGAAAGGGTAACAAAAGTATCCCTAAAAGCCTTGATGTCCATGTGTCCACGGTAAGACAGACTGTCTACAAATGGAGAAAGTCAGCCAACTACTCAACACAGGATGGGTGATGCAACAGGACGACAACCCATAGCGTAGAAGTAAATCAACAACAGAATGGCATCAACAGAAGAAAATACGCCTTCTCGATTGGCCCAGTCAGAGTTCTGACCTCAACCCGATTGAGATGCTGTGGCATGACCTCAAGAGGGTGATTCACACCAGACATCCCAAGAATATTGCTGGACTTAAACACTTTTGTACAGGTTTGGAATGGTGCAAAATTTCTCCTGACAGTTGTTCAGGTCTGATGTGCAACTACAGGCGACGTTTGGTTAAGGTTACTGCTGCCAAAGGAGGGTCAACCAGTTATTAAGTCCAAAGGTTTGCATACTTTTTCCACCCCACGCTGTGAACGTTTACCTGTTGTGTTCAATAAAAACATGAAAACTGAATATTTTTTGTGCGGTATTAGTTCAAGCAGACTGCGTTTGTCTAGTGATGTGACTTAGATGAAGATAAGAACATATTTAATGACCAATTTTTGCAGAAACCCAAGGAATCCCAAAGGGTTCACATACTGTTTCTTGCAACTGTACATACTATATACATATACATACACATATATATACATACACATATATACACATACATATATATATACATATACATATATAAACATATATATGCATTAGATATGTTCTCCCGGTTCTCCTTTCGCTCCCTCAGTACATCGCAGATTTTATTTAATTCGATCTCGTGAAACATAGCAAATATAAACTAAAAAACATAAATAAAGACAAAATAATTATATATACAAAAGTTTTGGCTTTAAAAATGTGGATTCTCATTTTGAAATTGAGATAAGCGCATTTGCAAACAATCACTAGTAGCTATATTTACCGAGACAAGAGCGTACACAGCACTTTTGGCTAATACAATATGTACTATACTATGACTGGCTCATGCATCGTAGCATCTCTCAGCATCTCTCAGCATCTCCCCTTGTCTGTCGGCCACTCTCTCGTTCACTTCACTCTGTGTCACCATTATACAACTCTACTGTGCATTTAATTGTGTGGAAAGGGTAATACAGTCTAGGGAGGGTTGATAACAGTGTGGGGGACGTTCATAAAGGGTAAATAAATACGTAAATAATATAATAACTATCTCGCCTCTACTTTTTTCCCCATTTCGCAGTGGGTCTTGGATATTCTGTATATATGATTCACAGCCCCTGATTCAAAGCCCAGTAGGTGAGAACTAAAGTCATTTGATATCCACAAAAAATGTACAGGATTCATTCTGACATTCCATTACAATAACAAAAATGACATTTATAAGGATTTATCAAGAGAGCCATATAAAACTTAAACAGTTCTACCCTAACGAGATTCAAGTTAAATCCTAGTCAGGAAGTGAATGTAGACTTTTGTCATTATTTGCCACAAAGGTCTCTACCTTTGCCCACTGAGCGAAAACGCAGCTAAAGGCTTTTCATACAAACACTCTCTCTGGTTATTAACGCCCTTTATTATCCTGGCGCCTGAGTCAATAACTACCTTCCTCTTGATGTTCTCCAGCAGGTCATCCTGTCCATGTTTAAAGTAGGGGTGTTGGAACTCCACAGGACCATCCCTCTCCTGTTTCACAACGCCTGCGTCCATGTGCATCACTTTGCGGAACCCATCTGTAAGTACACACCGACACACATACATATAAGCCCAGCACAAATCGGCTGCTTCAAGAGTCAAGACTTCATAAAACTGAAAAGGTGACAGGAATACATGGTTAAAATTCAATAATAAAAACTACATTTCATATATATATTTATATATGTTTTAAAAAAGTGGGGAGAATATACGGTAATGTAAGTATGCTTTACAAAATTGTAAACAATATTGGTTTGTTTTTATCAATTACAACATGCAAACCCATCAAAAGATGTCTAAAAAAAATCATATTATATAGCCAGGTTTGTATTAATACTAAACAGTAGCTAACCATCATTATTTCATTTACAGTAGGTGAAAACAATTCACCTATTGTTCCTATTGTGAAATGCTTGTGTCAGAAGCTTTAAACCACGTGTCAAACACGAGGCCCGGGGGCCAAATGCGGCCCGCCAAGTCATTATGTGTGGCCTGCGGGAGCTTAAAAAGTATTAAGCAGCAGAGTTTCTTAACGTAAGAATTATTTTTTTAATTACACAGCAATGAGCAATATTTGTAGCTTTAATAAATAATAATAAATCGCAGAAACTAGCGGTCTCCAATCTTTTTTGTTCCAAGGCCTAGTCAGCTAGTACCACCTGTTACTACAGAACGGTAAGTACATTTTGTCCCACTTCAGCCTGGTACTGGTCCACGGACCAGGGGTTGGGAACCCGATAGATATATACAGTCTTTACAACCGACCCTTCAAGGAGAACTGTATTGCTGATGTGAAAATGAGTTTGACACCCCTGCTTTAAACTATCTCATGATACACCACAGAGCACAGCAACAAGACAAAATGTACACAAAATGTTGATTTTGATTTTTCCTTCGTTCGCTTACTTACAATTGATTTTAAAGAAATAAACGAGGTTTTCTGTATTTTTTTTTGTGCGACTTAAGACTACACTAAATAAAATCCTAGTACTGATACAATCAACAAAATTTCGATGTGTGTCTTTGTCTGTGGGTGTTTTTAAGAAAGGAAGAAAGGCCCTCTTACACATGTTCAGCTGCCTTATGAAACTAGCCATGTTGTTGTGCTTGAAGAATTTGGGCAGAATCTCCTTGGCAAAGCGCTGTTCGTCCGACACCAGAAAGCTGTTGCCCCCCTAAAAAAAAGCAGCATCATGGCAGTGAAAAATACATTTGCGGAAGAGGGTGACTAGGATTCAGCAATGTCACTCCATGGCAATTCACTCAATGTCTAACTACAATTGTAATCCCAACTATGATCAGACTGGTACTATCGGCCTCATTTGGCTCTCGTATTGCAAGTGGAAAATACGATGTAAATATACTATGTGCAACATACTATGTATTTTTAATATAACTGCATTTTTGATATATGCGCTTTATTCTGTAAATATATGCTTCAAAATTTAGTGACATCGTTCGATTTCTTTTTTATCTGTCTCTTTTGCACCTTACGTGGGTCAGTTAAACAATTCCGTTGTACCGTAAAGCGTACGTACATACAGTAACAATAAAGTGTACGTTATCATAACCTATAGCTAGTTGTGAGCTTGGCACACGCACGCTACCTGACTCCAGCAAATGAACTCATTAGTGTTTTCGTCCTCCACCAGCGTCCACAGCTTGGTAAGGAAGGCAGGGACGTTTGAGTTGTGCTTCATATTGTTAAAATAATAATAATAACAAAAAAAGCCTGGACTCGATGGCGTACTGTCAAGCAGTTCGTGTTGTTCGCAGCTACTCCCTACACAACACAACACAACACTAAACACAGTTAGCTTCAGGAAAACATGGCCACTAACTTCCGTTTCCGGGTAACGTAAAGTCAATTGAGTGATACCCTGACGCAGATGTTGAAGGGCAGATTGAGAATTTAAAAAATAAATATATATATATATTTTTATTTATTTGCGAGATTAAAACTCGATACGTTTCGAGAAAAGAGTCGCCATTTTACAAAAAAAGAAAGTCGTAATTTACTTACTCGTATATTTCAGAGTATTGCGTCATAATATTAATTATAAACATCTCATCCGATGCTTAGTGTCGTGTGCTTCTCACAAAAATTAGGATTTTTTACGACTTTATTTCCTGGCGTTGAAAACATTTTATATTTCAAAATGTATTGTTAATTTTAATTCTTCTCTCTCTTTGTTTTCACAAGCAAGTTTGCTTTATATATCCTTAGCATATTCTTGTTATAATTTTACAATATTTGGTCGAAATGCCTGCTTTACAGCGTTCAGAATCTTGTCACAAGTTGTTACTATAGATGTCATTCGGGAAATATATATATATATAAATTATATTTGCACCCTGGTCGGCATTGTAGGGAAGTATGCCCTCAGGAAAGGAGCAGCAACAACTTGAATACCACTTCATGAATGTACCTGCTGTTGAAGCTGTTCAGCAAGAACTGCTTACCCACAAGGTAAGGAAAAATCAAGTTGTTTTTGTTACTAAATAAGTTCCTTAAACAAAACAGCAAAGTTTACACATTCTCTCTGCATCTGTTTTTCTTCTTCGAGTAATTGGGGCAGCCTATGGATATATTGTTTACCAGTTCTTGTGGAGGGAATGAACTTTTTTTTTCTGTTGGAAAAACCAGAGCATAATAAAACCCATGGCTATGGGTGTTAGCAGACTTAGCTTGAGTCACTAAACAGGGCTTTCAAAAGCCTACTTTTAAGAGCAAGACAAACCCAAATAACTAAACTTACATTGCATCTTCAAACTTCCTGTTCTATACTAACCAGACAAATTCTGATTTATTATGGAGATCCCCACTGTTTTAAGAATTTATCAAATTATTTCACCTGCTGGTAAAAAGAAAACAAAAGAGGAAACCTTCCTCTGGCAATACACTAGAGGGCAGGCAAATATTAGACATAGCCTTACGTGTGGCCAGCTATGAGTTGGGTGGCAACAGAGCTGTCATGTGACTTAAAGTGACCCGAGCACTCAAGTTGATTTTTAGTGACAATTTCAGTTAGATTAACCACTACGACAACAATCATACCCTACGGAGCATGAAAATCTGGGCATTACATTATGCATATTGTGTGTTATAAGTAGTAATTCTTCTCTACAAGTGTGTATTTGTGTTAATATTTGTGGATGTCTTTATTCGCTGTCATCGCTCCACTGACCTGACATTACATCTAACACCTACTTGCCACAAACTGTCCTTTCCCAGTCTTCTTACTACTTGCGAGAGCATCTCTCACTCTATTCTGCTTGCAGTGGTGGCTTGGCGGTTAAGGAAGCAGACCTCGATCTGGAAGGTTTCAGATTCAAGTCCACCCGCTGTCAAGTTGCCACTGAGGCACCACACGCTGCTTAAGCAGCCCCTGCTCACTTTGGTCATGGGTAAAAATCAGAGGTCGCATTTTGTTGCGTGTGCTGTGTCACAATGATGCATTACACCTGTCATCTAGGTGTATTTTATCGTTAGGATTGACGTAAGACATAGATGCTCTGTCAGAATTGACACCTTGGAGGAAGAGCTGAGCTCACTGTTGAAACAACAAGGTAAAAACGACACTTGACACATCATCAGTGATGTAACCTAGGGTCAATCTGTGTTTTTGGTCTTGTGTCAAAGTGGCTTGTTAAGTCCACAGAAGAGTTGCACGATACCCACGGTACCCTGCGATGCCAAATCGTAACGGTTCCTACTATACTAGAAATTCTATACGACGGTACTACCGTGGATTACTATACACCAGTGCATGTTTACAACATTATAGGTATTTATACCTTGTACAATACATTGCCGTTCATAAAAATAATAATAATAAAAAAGGATTCAGTATCGCGATAATACCTGGAACCGTGATACTTTGTCTGGTAAAGTATCATGGTTACTCATTTTGGTCTCTAGTCCACAGCCATGAACTGTTGTGCCTTCCCTTGATCCCAAACCTCCTCAGGGCTCGCTCACTTTAAGCCCAGGTTTTTTCTGACACATACGTCGGTGACTGTTGTTTGCTGTTAAAGCAGTGCGAATCTGAGATCAACGGCTGCAACTTCTTTTTTGTGATCTTCAAAAATAGTCCGACCTTTGATCAACATGAAGTAATCATTGCTTTGAGCTGCTGTCGCATAGAAACATGATAAATGCTTGCTAATGAGGCAGCAGGAGAGGTGCATAACCTTCGTATCATATCCTTAATATATATATATCCTACATATACTTAATTTCCTGAAGGGAACTCCAGAGGGAATAATACGTTCTTTCTATAACCGCAGTTTGGTCCTGTGTTCTGCGCTTTGAACAACACTTCCAAGCACGCCGTAGCATGCAGATCACACTAATGCCAGCTGAGGAAACCTTAAAATCAATTGAGTCTTACATCTTATACAGCAGTCCTTTGTTCGGGTAACCATGAACTCCGAATCAGACTGCTGAGGGGGAGCTGCGTCTTGTTCTTTCTCCCGTCAAAGGCAAGGCTGCAGAGGCTTCGAGGAAGGCTCAATCACCTGCGCAGGCAATGGCTGATCTTCCCCTTTAGGCCCCTTAACAATGGCAATCCAGACTTCATTCTTGCCTGGCAGCCCAGACTTACCCACTGAAGAGAGCCAGGTTATCAATTTGCTGCTCGTTGAATTGAGTGCTGCGGTGTCCTTCAGGGTGTAAAGTCACAATTGGTCCTAAAATCTTTACCTTGTCTACGCCATGTATAGGGAAAATGCAGGCAAACCAATTATATAATTTGGACAAGTTTGGCGTGCCGGATTACAAAGCTGAAAGGGCTGCATCCGGTCCCTGGACCTTAGTTTGCCCATGCCTGGTGTAGGGTGTAGAACAGGCTTCTTTTTAATAGATGGGATCTGGACTGGAGTGCTACATAACCTAAGCGTAACTTCCTCCTTCCCCAAGACCAGAGACCAGGACTAGGCTGGCTTAAAGATCATGAGATCCAGCATGTTCTTGGCTAAGGCAAACAAACTCTTAGAGATGGTGCATCCAGTGATTACGCATTTTTCCAGCCGACTGAATGCAGATGTTGCCGTTCCAGAGGTGACTCTCAAGCTGAAGCAGCTGTAGTAGTCCAGAATGAGCTTCCTGATTTTGCCTGAGAAGTGGGGTCAGTTGAGCAAGATTTCCACCAGTTCACGTTGGATTGACCAGTCGGCATTGGCAACGTCAAGCCTCCTGGATAGGCTGGCTAACAACCATCCTGGTGCCCTGGGAACTCCTCCCCTTCTGCACAGAGGTGTCAATATATGCATCCCTCACCGTTTCCCATCACGTTACCCTAAGTCAGAGGTTCCTAAAGTAGGGAGCGTGCCTCCTGGAGGGGATTGGTTCATCAGAACCATGGGGAGGCCCAGCAGAGAAAGTTTGGGAACCCCACGTGATATGCAACGATGCCAAAGAACACCTTGCCCTCTACGCTAAGGGGTGAGATGACGCTGAATTGTTAATGGTGCTTTCATTCTCCTTCTTTGGGATCCAGACCCCCGGACACCACCTCATCTATGGTCTGAATACACAAGATAGCCCCCCTTCTGCTCTCCAACTTCAGTTCCATAGTGTATTGGTTAGCACGCCTGCCTTGGAAGCAGAGAGCAAAGTCCAAGGTTCGATTCCCAGAGTAACCACACGCTTGGCGCCCGCTAGGGGCAGCCTGTTAACAGCATATCTACTGTTAACACAATCATTTTTTTTACTGTATGCCAGCTAGCTACCTTTGGCAGTCCTTGTCCCTATGTTGAAATCTACCCTTAAATTTGATGTTGTTTTTGTTGTTTACATTCTTATTATGACTTACTTCAAAATACATTTGGAAAAAGGCGTGCATGGAAATTTACTTGATAGGTGGCTGATCACATGTAACCTTTCACGTCATTGTTATACGACTTGATCTCGGCCAGGCATTGGAACCATCTACTATGGTGTTGACAGGAAGAGAAATATAGTCAGAAGAAGCTTAATTTGTGTTAACTGGTTTGGGTGGTGTAAGAATTCCAAGACACAATCATAGAAGTTGAGGTAGTGACAGGACCAATTTTAAATTAACTGCTATCACACTGTATAAATATATTGTGTTTTGACTTCTTTCTGTTCTAAGTGTGCTGTTACAAAAGCTGGAGCAGGAGTTGAAGAAAAAAAAGGGTTACTGGCAAAGTAAGGCAGTCGGAGGCTACTGCTTAGTTAGGTTGACAAGAGTCAGATTAATTGGACTGGATATGACATCAAAAGACATCACCCTGCTTACTTAAAATGGGTGTAATTAGAAGGACATTCTTTAACTTGGACACAGAGAAGATTATGTAGACAGAGGATTTACAGCACATTACAGTGATCCATCTAACACATATGAGGGTTTCGTTTCATACTCCAAAATAAACTGGTACACCAAATAAATATAACATTTAACAGCACTTTTGAAAACTGTTAATAAATTCAATCAAAAACAACCAGAAATGGAGACCTTCCCTGGAGGGAAATTGTGGTATATATTAAGTGTGAGAATTATGTAGAAAATATAGAAAATAGTGTAAAATGCAATGATAATTACAAGTCTATGCTGCAAGAGAAAAAATTGAAATTTAAAAATTTAAAAAAAGTTAACTTTTATTTTTAAAAAAAAACTTTCTTCAATTCCTGCCAGTATATTAGCATTGTCTTCAACTAAACAGGGGTACATTTTTTAGTAAATTTAAACTAGAATATTATTAAATTTCATTGCATATACTTTTTGTGAGATTTTTGTTTGTTGCTGTTGGTGTTGGTTTTTTTCTGATGATATATATGTGTCGTGGCTCAAAAGAACGTTGGGAAACACTGCCCTAT